TGGCAGTCCCACGGAGAGGGGCCCCCTGCAAGGTGTCGTGGGCCACCTCGCAGATGACCTGAGAGTGGACGTCTCCAGGGTTCAGCGCCACCTTGGCTGTGCTGTGCAGGCTGTAGGAGACGCTTTTGCCTGCAGGGTCCACGCTGGTCTGGAAGTCTGAGAGCTCATTGCCATTTTTGAACCACTTCAGGGTGATGTCTCGTGGGGAGAAGCCATGGGACTCACAGGTGAAGTTCACCGTCTGGTTAGCTGTGACCCTTGCCGCGGGGCCCGTTACCACAGGGAGAGAGGGTTTGGCTACAAAGGAGCATTTATAAACAGGAGACGTGATTGCAACGACCATCAGGAATGATAAGTATGTGACACTGTCACGGATCGTCACAGACAGTATTTTTTAGTCCTTCCGATAACACTGGGGAGGTGGTGTCCTTATCCTCATTTTACAGAGCAGGACGCAAAGGCTCCCAGAGGGGACAGACCAGCCGAGGCCAGACAGTGAGTGGGGGCAGGGCCCAGAGGGATTCCAGGCCTGAGTTCCAAGCCCTTCTGTCTGCACAGGGGATTTCCACCCCTCTCGGCACGGGAACAGGATTATTGATTGGTCTCACCCTTGGTATTAACTGTTCCTAGCTGGCCTCCCTGGGACACCTCCCAACCCCAGAGAGGGTGACTATAGAAGTCAGTGCAGGAACAAGCGGGAAAGTGGCACTGCCGTGAGAGCTGGCACCGGGCTGGCCAGCCCATGAGAGGGGTGGCCTGGTACATCCAGCTCCTCATCTGTGAAATGGGACAGCAGCGTTTCTCCTTCCCCAGGTGCAGGGAGGATTAACTGAGGCAATGCAAGCAGTTTTGCTTCGGATGAAACACAGAAGATGCTTCACAGAAGCAACCACAGACCTATCTTTAACACAGACTGCACATATATGCAGAGCTCTCCCTTAAGGTATTTATGAACTTAGTCTATATTTTTCGTTCTTTCCACAAATATTCCAGAAGAGTCTATCTGTGCCATGTCCTGAATTTGAAAGGGAGAGGGCAAAGAGATACTTTTCTCAACCTGGGGTCTTCTTTTGGGTCAGTTTTAGGTGGAAAACAAAGATCATGGTGAGCTGAGAAAGTCGAAGGTGTTTAATTTCTTAATTGTTACGTAATTACAAGAGACACAGAATCAAGAAACCTAAGCAGGCAGAAGCACTTCCTGTCCTGAAAGCACACAGATGGGTGACTCAGAACGATGAGGGCAGTTTCTCCCCGTGGATGGGTCCTGAGCGTGTCTCCAAATTGCTAATTCTCACCCTGCACCTTCCGCAGCAGTCACCAGGAAGCCCGTCACACATATTTGCATTTGTAAACACTAACTTGCTCCCTAACACCCGTCAAACATTTTGAGGGCACAGTAAGGGGTGTCACTTGAGGAAGTCACATCATCAGGACACAGCAGCCTGGATTTCCCTAAAGGGATGGGAGGCTGTAATCAGTTCTCCTCCGGAGCCTGACACCGGCTGCCCCTTTTGTGCCCCCAGCTCTGTGATCCTCCCCCATCCCGGTGAGGGGTCCTCGTCTGAGCCCCTTTAGGGTGACACTCAGAGAGGAGCCTGGCTGTCCAAGGGCCCAAAGTGGATAAAGACCCCACCTGGTAAGATGAGTGAGGAAAAATGCAAACACAGAGCCTGGTATATAGTAGGTGCTTAATAAAGAACACCTATGACTGTTGTCATGAGATCCGGTCACCACTGGTTCTGAAACTACACATTTATTCTTTAGGCAGCAGAACAAAGCAGAGCGGAAACTCCAAGAAAAGTCCCAAGTCCTGCTCCCTGCAGCTGCCATGAAAACCCAAGCGATGGCAGGACAGAAACCAGCGAATGACGAGTCTCCCCCCCTTTCCTGAACAATCCCCTCAGGAAACGAGGTTGGCGAATTGGCTCTCAGAACACAGACAAGATCCCAGGCGTCTCCCTCCAGAGGAGCCACTGACACGAGCTGGACGCACTTTGGAGGGAGGAGGGAACAGAGTCCTCAGTGACATCCTGCTGTGTCGCGGCAGGGAGGGTTCTGGGGCTGAACCAGGAGCATGTACCGGGATTCCGGCGCCTGTGTAGACACGGGCATTTCCGAGATGGGCGGGTTCCCCAGCACCGAGGCTGGATCTGAGCAGGACTTTTGTCCAGGCCTCCCTCCCTGAGCCCTGAGGCCTGCTCCATGGGGCGGGGGGTCCTGGCCAGGCCACTGTGGCCTCCAAAGAGCTGTCCCCAGCACGTGCTGAAGCCCCCACACCTGGAAGAGCTGTTCTCCCACCTGGCACCACAGAGGACCATGTTTTCTGGGAGGGGGGACCCAGCTTGTCCCCTGTGACCTCAGGGCCTCTCTCAGGGGTCCTCGGCCCTGGCTGTGTGTTAGAATCTTTGCAGTCACTAAAAACGTCAGATGCCCAGGCCCCTGCCAGACCAATTAAATTGGCATTTCTAGGGTAGAGCCTGGGTCTGGGGGTTTTTCGTTCAAAGTTTCCCAGGCGATTCGAAAGAGCAGCCAAGGGTGACAGCCACCCGACCACAGCCCAGTCCCGTTTACACTTGAGGCCTGGGGCAGAAGGGGACCCGTCCCGGGTCTCGCGGCTCCGGCGTAACGCGGCGCCATCACTGAACGTTCACTGCTCGCCGGGCGCTGCCCTAAGCACTTTGTG